ATACCTCTTGTATTAATAATGTTATCACAGAACGTCCTGTTCGCTGGTTAGGGCACGTTCTCCGTAATCCACCACAGGAATTGATGCGCATTTCGTTATTTGCTAAAGCTAATCAGTTACCCTGTGATGGATGGCTTCAAAAGCGAGGAGGATCAAGACCTGGATTGATACAGTCAGGGAGGTGTAGGAAGACTAGCGATATATGGACTTAGACGATGGAAAAAGGAATGGCTCCTATTACTACTAGCGATGGGGTAGGACTGGGAAGCTTGGAGATGTCTTACCTTGTAGCCAGCGGAGCCAGTATAACCAGTAATGCTGAGAGCTGTTAGAAGAAGAAGATTAAATATCGCTTAATTAAAGCTAATAGAAATAGAAATTTTAAGAACTACTACTATTATATAAATAAAATGCAAAAGTAAAACAGCACATTTCGATTTTAAAAAATGAAAAATAAAATATTATTTTGCAAGTTCTACCACACACTTTATTTGTTCCTCAATAACAATTTGTTGACCAAATTGCTTACAACTTTTAAAGATGATATAATTCTAAGGTCATTTCCAATTATCGTCATACTTATCGTCATAATCGAAAATAAGAAAATAAATTAAAAACCTCGCCAAAATGCGAAATAGCAGATGAATTATGCTATTTCTTCTGGTTGCAATTACCCAATAAATTATTCTCTTTGATATCTTCAGGTCATAAATTTAAAGGATTAAAATGATATAATTTGCATATCGCGACACCCATCTTGTTGAATAGGCAAAATATTCGAGTAGCATGCGAAGATTGAAGGAACTAAAATTTAAGTCCATTTCATACATGGTTTTTTTTTAAGAGTCCTCACCATGACTGGTTAAACTCGTGCTATTGGCTTGTCGCATTGGGCAATATGCCATGGAGTCCCTTGGCAATAAAAATATAGGTGAATTGCCAGCATCACCCGGACTCACAGGATTGCTCCTGCGGGGGATAGAACCTCAGCATCGGCGCTCCCAATTGAGCAACAACCCACTGAGTCATCCTATTCCCATTTCATGTATGGTTGCAAGTAAATAATTGTTCCGGTGGCAAATGGTTATTGTTTATGCCCACGAGTATAAGACTTATCACTAGACATAAATTCCTTAAGTAAATGAAGCTGGCGATTCACCTGTATTCATTTCCTGGCATATTTTTCTGAGCAATGGTGAGTGCTCGTTAAAAAAAACCAATATTTACAATAAATTACGATAAAAACTTATAAGCTTAGTTAAAAAGTGGAGCTAATCTTTCCTAAATCAGGCATGTCTTCTCCTTTCTTTTATTTCTGCACCTTGCCAATTTTTCCACACCAAACCACCCTTCTTATATTTTACACCGCATTTCGACAGCTGAATTAGGCTTAAGAAAGGAGTAAACATTCTCTACAATGAAGATGGACGAGTAAAACCAAAAAAAAGATCAGATGAAGGCGATTATAAAAATGCTGACTTAGAACAGGATGAGTTAATTTCTAAGAACCATCATTTCCGCGTAGGTTCATTCCACTGGTTTATCGAACCAAATGAATTTTGACAGGGAGTCAGGGAGTCAGTTTGTGATAGAAGAAATATATTGCGAGTCCTCAGTACCACCATGATTGAAGCTATATGGAATCATTATTTCCCACAAATTTTTCTATGGTTCTTTAGGGAATTTGATTATACTTAAATGGGTAAAGGCTTTGTGAATAACCTCGATCATTATTCTAAGCATACAATCGTACATATTGTGCTTATAACTTTTTTTCTTAATTTTTTTTCTTACTCTTCTTTATTTACAAAACTTTTACCCATTTATAATTTCAGATTGCTGCCAAATATATTTTGACATATCACATATTAAGAGGTCTATAAATCAGCCCAGAGCCACAGTATATAGAACATGCTGATTATCCTTTTTGCTGGAGAAATGCAAAAAGCAAAAATAACGTATCGAGAAGTACAAGAAAGTAGGACTTGCTATCAATGTAATGTAAATAAAAATTAAAATCTTTTCGTCTTATGCACCAGAAGCTGGTAAGATATCAATACCTTCCAAATATCAGCACCCTTTTTTTGTCAATTTATTGGCGGTAGCGGAAATAAAGACGGCCAAGTTGAAGATGAAATCACTACTGAGATAATGGTAGGTAAGAATGTATTCTTCCGGTTGACGAAACCTTTATAGAGCCATCACGAAATCACAATAAAAATGAAAGTCGTCCGATTCTATAAAACTAGATTCGCTCGATCTTGTTATATGACTACAGGATAAGGCCAATGGGAGTGAAGGACATTAAGAAGCCATCTATCTTTGACCATTCATATCTAAGATACGTCTTATGGACGCCAAGCGAATAAAATCGCACATGATCGCATCCATCTTCGCTCAAACGCCACTTCCATTAAAAATTTCGTTCCTTGTTAAACCCTATGATAGGTGGCATCAAAAGCAAGGAGGATCATCAAGACCTGGACTAACACGGTCAGGAAAGATTTTGAACGTACAAGACCAGCGATCCATATAATAAACAATGATAGCTTTTATTACTGCCAGCGTGGCATCGGATCGAGTATTTTTTGCATAGTATTTGCTGATGAACGCAATAAATAACCACGGGCTTTAAATACCTAATTTTGCAAAAACTTTTGCTAAACCATATTTTCATGCATTACCACCATTTCTAATCCATACATTACCACCATTTCTACCACCATTCGTGACATCCTATTCCATTTTAAGTTGTTGAATCAGTGTGCTCTCAAATCCGTGAAAACTACTCATAGAGGGAAACTGTTCATTTATAGCAAACTCAGCACTGACTTCTCGATACTGAGCTAATAATCGATAATCAAGATGGAAGGAGAACAATTCGAAATCGTTTTGTTCATTAATAGCCTCTTATTGCCAATTATTCGAACAACTATTTTCACTGAAAGGATAATATTTTAAACAAGGCAGCTTTCTTCAGTTACTCGTTCATGCACAATCTAACAAACCCTCCTTATCAGTGAACTATTTTTCTTGCTTGGCTGACTGATGAATTAATACGTTCGATGTGAAGCCGGCTTGTAACTTTGTTCTTCCTTAGTGACTTTGACGAAGGGACCCATACAAATGTCTTTAGAATAAACAAATTAGCAGAGCCATGAGTGAAGTAAATGAAATGCAATTTATGCTGTGTTATTAATGAATTATTTTTAAACTTTTTCTTCCATTTAAAATCAATTATTTAATTAGCCAATGGTTCGCCATCATTGATTTCTCTCCTTCCCTTGGCTTTTGTGATAATTCGCACTTTCGCCAAAGAGTCATTTGGCAAAGTATAGTTTATCACCTTGTAGGATTTTTTAATGGCAAATTTACACCTATTAGAGACCACAACGCTTGAAATAATAAGCTGAACAATATGCCAATACACATCACTTTCCGTTATTTTTACCTCAGTCAACGGGCAAATTCTTGTACCTTTTCTGATTTTATTTTTATTATTTATTATTTAAATCATAAATACATCATTGACAAATCCAACTAAATAGCAGAAAGGAATCGCTTATAGAAGAAATTTATAGAAATTATAAATCTAAAGTAGAAAAATCAAATTTTTAGCGTAATTTGATTAAAATGCAATTAGCTGGAATTGGTTAATTTGAGTTGAATTAAGAAATTTATTCATATAAATATCATTTCTGCGTATTAAATGAAATTTAGAATTTTAATTAGCTATTAGCCATTTATTATAAAATAATGAAATAATAGAAATTCATAAATTGTATTGCCAAAAATAAAATTTTTTTGCTAAACGTTGCATATTGTTTTCTTCATTCACCTCTTTATACAGATTTCTTTTTTTGTTTTTTACATTCACAAAAAATAAAACATTATTTTTAATATTAAATATTTCCTGTAATCTAGCTTATCACATTAATTGTCTACTTATCATATTATCACATTAATCATTTTTATTTTTATTTCTTTTTCAGAATTTGACGACGATGAATTTGACACTTATCGAACAAAACTCCGAAATTGACAAAATAGATATGTGGGCCACTCTTACGGTAAATTTAACCGATCTTATTTGGCATTAATTCATATGACTCTAATTTTTAGCCTCTTATTTAGCAGCACTCGTTGATTCATTTAACTTGTATTATCTTTAGAATTATTAGATTTAACTGTATAAATTAATAAAAAGCGATTATTGTTTTAGGCAGGTTTAGTGGGATTCACAGCAAATATGGCGGCGTTCTGCACAACGCGTATTTTTAAGAAATTCATTAATTCATATGGAATATTATGTGGTGGATATAGCGCTTTGAATTCGATTCTCATATTTTTCTTGACGATATATGTTACAATTTGTCTAACAATGTAATGCAAATTTTAAGTTCAATTTTACATAAAAATTATAATTTTTTGTCGTAACGGATTAGCAATAGTGCGTTGCACCGAGAATCGATGCTTGAGTTCGAGTTTGCCGATGCACCGCTCTTCGTCCGGCAGCAATGTCGCTTAACGGAGAAAAACAAGGAGAGTGGAATGGCGGAGAATCCAAAACCCGGATGATTCATCCACACTTCTATCGCCAAGGGACTTCCTGGTAAATTTGTCTAGTGCGACAAGCCAGAGGAGAGAGAGACTCTAACCAGTAATGGTGGGTGCTTGTACAAAAAAAAAACAGTTTAGCATAAATTTCGCCAAAAATTTGCTTCGTAATAATATCAGAAATTATTTTTCATAAAAATGATGCGGTCTTCTTTTCGACGTTCGACTTCAATTATTCATTTATTTTGCCTTTTAAAAAAATAAGATAAATGGCGATTTTTTGTAAAAATATATCCAAAATGAAATCATTCTGGTGACTAAGTAAGTTTTGATGATTCTAAATAGTTCATATTGGAAGTGAAGGCTCATTTTGCAATATAAATATTTACAGCCATACAGCAGCCACAAAATCGTTCGTGGGAGCCTCAATATCTACCATATTAATGGGACTTTGCAATTCGACATTTATTATTCACCTGCTAATTTCAATCAATCGCTATTTCTCGATCTCTTTTCCCACTTCCTATTCCTCAATATTCACGAAACGTTTCTCATACAGTAGCATAATCGTCATAGTTCTGTGCACATTAGCCATCCGCACGACAAACTTTATAGGTGATTTTATTGCTGAATTCATAGTTGAATTTCACAGCTTAGCTTTTCTTTTCCTGCGTTCATCTAATGTGCGCAAATAATTAAGTTTTCCTGGTGCAACTGAAATATGAACAAAGGAAATAAGCGTTCATTTGTTTATTTTAGACGGATGCCAACGATACTTCGATCTCTCAAAACATATATGGATTTTTGAGAGAACGAAATGTGGCCAAGTACTTTCAACATTTTCTCAATATGCTACTCTCACAATAACTTTCTCGATGATAATAATCGATTTGTTCACATTACATAGGCTCCGTTCATTCAACAAGGTTATCCAGTCCTGCCAATTCCAACAGTTATTTGCCACAGCTACCGAGAATATTAAATTATTAAATTCGCTAATGTAGGAATAAATTTTTAGAGATCGAAACTAAACAAGGCAATCAATACGCAAAACAAAACAAATAGAAAATTGGAAGTTATGTTTTTCATACAGGTAAATTTTGCCATAATTATTACTAAATCTTTGCAAAGAATTCATCTAAAATTTTTCAATGAAAATCCGGATGTTCTATTATTTAGGCGACCGCTGTTAGTATAGCGCTTCTTGGACTATCAATTTTCAATTATATCATGAATAAATTTGGGCCAGGGTGGATAAATTCTGGGCTATCATCAGCAATTTGGATCTCGTTTCATACGCTCGATGGGTCAGTTTACAGCCTAATTCCTGAAATAAAGCAATTCTCAGAAAAACCTAGTTTTGTTTCAAAGTTTCAGGGTTGTTTTTTTGATATTCAATGCCAGAAGCGTCAATAGTGAATCCACGTTTCGGTCAAGCACAATTTCTTACTTCTACAGTATTCTAAATCGTAGCAAAGTTGCATCTGAAACTACTAACAAATCGTTCCAAATCAAGTCAAAAGCATGAAAATTTTTATATATTCAAGAAATTAACTAAAAACTGTAATTAAATTAAATTCTGTCTAAGAAACCTGAGGCATCTTAAGAATATATAAACCTGGTTTTGGTACCTGGTTTAGAGTGAGAAATTCAATGTAATTTATTAATAGGAAGAGTATGGGTTAGAAGATTTCGACGTCAAATATTACTCCAATTCCTTTCCAGTTTATTTCCAATGATTGGAATAACCAGTTGCCGTATGGAGGCAATCCGAAAAGCGCTCATAATCTTCTATAACTCATAGAAAAAAGATCGCAGCCAATGAAATAGAACAAGCCAGAAATGCTAAGTGCTAAGAAATTTCTTTTATTGTTGAATGCGATAAGAGAAGTATATATAGTTGGTTATTGGCCACCAGGATGTACCAATAATTTTCAAGCTATACTCGATCTACAATTAACTGATTATTCTCAAAAAATGGAATTTTCATTTTCATTTGTCAAATTCAAAAATTATTTTTGCAATTATTCTGATCATGTTGAGCGGTGGTTTTTTAAAATTTTTGCCCGCTTTTGTATTGTGTTATTATAAAATTTATTGCAAAAATTTAGATAAAAATTATTTTAATCCGACTGATTTATTTGGTATACTTTTAACAAATTTAATATTCCAAATATAAAGTTTTAATTAATAAAGCTAAACGATTAACTAAATAAGCTACAAAACTAATCCTAAACACGATAACTAATTACCTGTTTAGTGGCAGAATAGTAATAACAAATAAATATTAAATAAGGTTCATAAAATTTTGTTTTATTAACATTTCTGAACACTGAATAATGGAAAAAAATTCCTTGAGAAATGGGGTTGAAGAAAACAAAAACTTTTTAAAAGGTATTCAATGCATAAACCGCGAATATTACCACGATTATCTATATTACGGAAACAGATCGTATGGTTATCATAATGGAAAAGTTGTGAAATGTGCCAAATGGAGTGAAGTAGTGAAACGCTTACAGGAAATTGCAACTTGGAAAACGGGAGAAACGCTTTGGTAATTATGGCTTTTTGCCGAGTTCGCCAACAAATGAAATAAGTAATCTAGAATAAGGAAAAAATTTACAAAAAATTTAATAAAAATATAAAATAAAAAATTTATAAAATACATGTTAAAAATATTCTTTTTAGGTTCTTTCCTGATGAATATTTTGACCACAATTATTGTCGTAGCTTAAATATGTTTCGTAGCAAAAAATTACATGCAACACATTCCTTGGAAATTGCTGGCTCTATGAGAACTTATAAGGGGCCATGGTGTTATCGAAAGGTATTCTTTCACTTCTTTTTCATCGTTGAAACATGGGGTTATCCAATGGTACTTAATACACATGGGGTTATCGTTTTATTCTCAGAATGTTAATAAATATTTCTTCGTTTTAAAACATGGCCCGCGGTTTAATGGCATACACTTAAGCAAAAGTCAAATGCAAAGAATTAATAAATAGTTTCAATTTCCTATGACCAAAAGCTTCTCTTTAAAGCCTACGTAATTGTATATTTTATCTCATAAAAACTTGCAGCATTCAAGTACTGAAGAAATCAATTTAGTTAAGAATGATCAAATATGATATCTTTGTTGTAGGTTCAAGATTCTTACCAAATAATGCACTGTTTCAAAGACTGTGAGCCTTATCAAGAGACGACAACAAGGAGTAAGAAATTTTCTCATATAGGCCCGTTTATTTAATTGTTTAGTATTTCGTGCTTTGAGAATTATATGGCACATTCGACAATGAAAATTTCAAAGATTTTTCTGATATTTGCTATATTCTGATATTTTTCTTATATTTTCATTGAGAAAAACACACGCGAATAAGCGTTAATAACTACAACAGCGAACTTTTCGACAATATTACGACAGCGATCTTCTCAAGTTTCGATTGGGGTCCACAGTTATATTACACATTCGTGAAGTTTTTTTTGGCTTTACTGAATCTATTAGTTGACTAGAGCAAGTTATTCATGCTCGAAATGCTTTAATATTCATCTTCAAAAAAATTTATGTCGGTTTTTTCGCCCTGATAAGTCTTAAAACGAGCATTATTGACGCTATTTACAGCAGCCTTCGGAACTAATTTTATCAGAGACCTTTATCAGGAATCGATATCGAATAATGTTAGGTATGATTGGAATTTTAGTGATAATCGTCATAATGGCGTTCGCGTTTCAATATATGTTACAAAAACCAAAAAACTTGAAGAAGGTTCCATTTTCCAGTTGTTCTGTTGTGAAAAAAAGGCTTTTAAGTTTTGTTTCTTCGTAACTTTTTCTTTTTTTCCTGATTTTTTACTTATCGCTTGATAAGTGACCAATCCTTGAACCAATGTATTTCTTTAGTAATATTTTCTTAAAGTTGCTACAATAATGTTTGAAAAGTTTTATTAAATCCATTAAATTGATTTTTTTTCATTATTATATGAATTATTTAGAACGATAAACCAAGCAAAAACATCGATCAGATAGTGCAAAATGAAACAGAAGTTGAAATTGGTCAGTCAGATATTCAAAATGACTCACTAATTTTCCAAAATTAAAAATTATAAATATAATTTAAATTTTATTAAAACTTTTTACAAATATCCCGAAAATATTTGCTCGTCAATTCGAATAAACATTTTTTATTTTAAATAATTAATATAATAATGAAATAATAGAAAAATTATAATATAATTATATAATAGAAAAATTAAAAATAATATAATAGAAAAATTTGATTTTTAATTGTTTCTGTTGAATGGTATGCAGTTACGCAAAATTCAATTGTGAATTAATTGAATAAATTGAATAAATGAAATGGATAAATGAATAAACAATATAGCTTGTGCGTCATATACTTAGCTATCTTTAAAAAAAGATTAGATAATATCATTTATGATATTATTTAAAAAGCTCATATCATACAGGAAGTGTGAAATCTCGACTTTTACCATCAGACTATATGTGATAATACATTTACTTCGAATTATATATTATTCTGCAATTTCCTCTTTATTTTCCCTTTAAAATGTTAATTTTTGTCATATTTTCTCTTTTTTTTATTACTAAATTTTATTAATTGTTTTTTTTTTAAAACTATTGTTATTAATGCAAACACATGGCGTTGCCGCCCTGCTTAGCTGGTTTTCAATAAATAAATAAATTATAATTGATATAATTTAAGAATATTTTTGAATTTTAAAGTTTTTTCAAATTTTTTCCTAAATTCATTAAATAATTTTATTTTTTTTATGAATTATTAGTAAGGAATTTCAATTCTTTGATATTTATTTTCGGACTAAATTCTCTTCTTCGGTTAACAGCGCTTACCAATAGTGCATTGGTGTTACGCCGGCTCTGTCAAGAGTGAGGCACTTTTAAACCCTCGACGAAATAAATAAAAAATGTTGGTTAAAGCTGGTGAAACTGGAATAATTTTTAAAAAAATGCGATAAAAATAAAGTAATGAAAGATATCCGCAAGATATTTTATTAGGCTTCCTAGCGGAATCACTATATTTTTCGGAATATTCATTGGAAATGCTTTTAAAATATTTCATCCCATCACTACTTTATTTAAAGGCCAAACATATATATTTATGTGCTTGAATTTATAACACCAAACAGTAAGAAAAGAAATAATTTTATATGAAAGAAAACCTTTATTTGAACGTTTAATTTGCACTCGTCATAATTATACAACGCTGACAACATTCCCGTTTAATTTTCGTTAAAAATAGTGATAATGCACACACCATACGCACCATATTATAAGGTAATTCATTTCAGTAATTATAGTTAAAGTGAAAAAATTATGACTTCTCAACATTGTTTTACAAGCAGGTTTCAGTAGCTAATCGGCTATTAGATTCCAGACTATTAGATTTAGCTGTGTTAATTTCAGGTTATGTATTACTTGGTAAAATCCAACTTAACCATGTAAAATCATACACATTAATATCAAATCCTATTTCCTCTCACTCTTAGTTTAGTCTATGTTGTGTGCTTTCGGTTTTCCTTGTGCTAATAGGATTGAGTGCATGTAAAAATGGGCATCAGATTATTTGCTCCAGGATAGTTATACTTTGTAACAAATCAGTCTCCACTACTAATGCAGATTAAAATTATAGGCCAATAATTGAAGGAGATATATGCAGAGGCCCCTATATTCTTAAAAATAGGTGTCATATGAAATAACTTCTAATTTTTTGGATTAATGCTAGTCTTTAAAATATTCATTTCGATTAAAAAAACAAAAATTGTTAGGAGAGGCTGCAAACCTGCAAACTTTTTATAAGATATTTTTGGAATATTATGAAGTCTAGTGGTGACAGATGGTTAAATGAGAACACCAAGAAATACCTTTTTCTCTTTATTTAGAAAATACTCATGAACAAATTTTCAAATATCATAGGTCTTTTTTCTATATAAGAGTCAATCCAATTATATGGTCGATATTTTTCTAATTTTTTTAAGTTATTTTAAAAGATACTTGTATAGTTATTACATTTTTTGATAAAGGTATATATTTTTCTATTTTTTTTTTTCATGAGAGTGCATTAAATAATAGAATAAATAAAAAAAGTACGGTTCTATTTAGCTTATTATTATTATACTCATTTTTTAAAAATCTGGTTGATAAACCATTATTTTTAAAGTTGTATAAGGTGATAAACTTTAGAGTGTATAAGGTGATAAACTTTAGAGCCTTGTGTAAAGACTAGAAAGACAGTACAATTTTCCATGAAATATTTATTGTTGCAATCGTTATATCACATTCTAAAATTTTCATAACAACTTATAGCGAAATAATCAGAATGATTATAATAATCATTATCAATAATCATTTTTAGACTAATCTCAGAAAATCAGTGAAATTAAAAAAAAAATGTTTCGTTATTAACTATTTTGTAATTCAGCAGATTGAGGAAATTTCATATGCATATTGTTTCATTATCCCAAATATTATTCGGTTCCATTTCCTGATAGTAAGACTATCTTGCCAGAATTCCTGAGTGCCTAAAAGTCATCAGAACCAATCCAACCAGAGACGGTGAATGCTAGAGGTGAGGAAAAAATTCATTAGATAAATGGAAATAACCATTCAATACGATAATTGTTAAGGTACCAAAAAAATTTATTATCTCAAAATTTTTCCAGAATATGAACCATAAAAATACATTTATTTAAAATGATTACCATCAAATAAAAAATAATAAAATAATTATAGGAATATTAAAGTAATTATAACAAAGTAAATAAGCAATTATAAAAAACATAAAAAAATAGGGATAAAAAACAAGAAACCAGTTTTAAACATTTAAATGTTTCTGGAACAATTTATTTAATGTTCCCGGTTGACTGAGGCAAATAAAAGAAGTTATAAAGTTCTGTCAATATTACAGCAAAAAGAAAATTTTTCGGCTGATCTACAGCTGAAAATGAATAAAATTTGTTCAATTTTGTATTTTTTGCAGATAACCGAGAAAGAAAAATTGATTTCCTTTTGCATTGGTCCGACTCATAAAATAATTTTTCTTCTAAAATAATTATTACGCAATAAAATAGTTGCAGCAAATATGAAAAACCTTCTATTTCAAAAACATAATTGGTAACTCGAAAATTTGCTAAATGAGGAAACGTGAAGAACGATTAACTTTCTCTAATACCTATAGGAATATTTCTACTTTCAATGGTATTGTAGTCTCGCCATTTGCAAAAAATATTAATTTAATGGAAACTTAATGCAATAATTAATCGATTTTATCAACCTTTGGAATGTTAAATTATGTTCAGCGAGCAAACCTTAAAGAAAAATTAATAATAATTATCTGAAAATCAATTATTGGTGATAATTTATTTTTTCATGTTTTTCATGCTTTTCAAAAAGTTTGTACCGAATTTTTTGCATTAATTTATCTTAGACTTCTAAACTCGCAGCCTAAGCCATACCTCAAAATCAGCCCATTCTGAGGCATTATTTGGAGTTCGGCCTTTGTTCTGTAGCGATGAGGTTGTCTCAACCTAATCAATCATTTGCGCAGTTCGAAGAAAGGGAAATCTGCATAAGTAATGAGAGATAATGCAAGAGGGTAATTTAGCAATAGAAAATGAAATAATAGAAAGCCTTGTCAATGCAAGATTTCAAAAATACAAGCAAAAAATTCCCAAGTATTTACATAAATGTGCATTAAATATTAGCAATGAAAAGAATGATAATAGTTAAAATGGATTTTAAATGGATTAAGCTTTAGAAAAAAAGGTATCTCTTTAATTTGTTTACTCAGCCGATATAAAAATTTCGAGGAGAATCTGTCTGACTGAAAAGCGGACTGAGCTTAACCAGAAATAGACAGTGCTTTTTAAAAAACAGAATTATTACATGGAACCAATAAAAAAAAAATTTTCTGACTATTAATTCGCAATCTGATTTCATTTTGGAATTTCTACCGATGCAGGCAAAATTCCAATAAGAATTTTGGTGAATAGCGGATCAAATAATACGCATAATTGCTAAATAATTGGGCTTTGAAAGTCCTTAAGTCATATTCCATGCAAAATTATCGTTTGAAAATGAAAATAAATTACCGTTTATTTTTATTCAAAACTGTAAATTTTGCTTAAAGATTTGTAAGAAAAACGAATAAAAAGAATTTTTATTTAAAACAGCTTTTAAATAAATTTGAATGAAAATTTGAATTTTTGTACTTTGTTCAATATTCTATAAATATTTATTGGTGAAAAACGTTAAATTAGTTTTAAATTAGTCGCTTCACTTTTTTGTTATTCTTCCACGGCGAGTTTGGAACTTAGTTTTCTTTTATATTTTTTTATTTAAATCACGTTTGATAAAATTTAATATCTTATATTTTTTTATTATATTTTTTATATTTTTATATACTTATATATTTATTTTTATATATTTATATATATTTTTTATATTTTTATATTTTTTGTATTTTTACATATATTTTTATATAAAAATGTAAAAGTATAAAATATAAAAATAAAAATATAAAAAATTTCTTTATTTCTTACTATTTTATATTTTATTATATTATATTTATATTTTTTATATTTATATTTTTCTTTCTTTTATATTTTTTTATTTTTTACCATTTATTCGATTTCTGTTATCTTGTCAAAGGGAAGCTTTCGTAAGAGAAACAGTTGCCGACAGATATAGTTGGCTCATAGCAGGGCTTAATATACTATTGCTTCCAGAAAGACCTAAATTCAACAACACTTGTCTAAACCGAGCCAAATACAAGCAAAATGTAAAAGAGGTGATAGATTTACTCGAAAGACAGGAAGTCTATTATGCCAGAGTATTACTCGAACATAATAATCCTAAATGTCGCTATGGAACAACCTATCGTGTTCTCTTAAAAGAGCTTGCACACTACAGTTGCGATAATATATCGATTATCTGGTTGGTACCACGACGTAACTTGCACCTCTAAGTTTTAATGATCATTAACGTTAGTTAAGAATCATGAGTGCTATTGTAAAAAGAAATAAAGGAAAGCTCCAATTTTGTAGGCACCAATTTTTTTTCC